TATATATATATATATATATATATATAAGTGTACTAAGTTATTTGGTGCCCAAAACTGAAGTCTTTTTACTTTAAAATAATTTAAATCTAAAGAAATTTAAGTTAGAATCGCTACTCTTGAAACATTTTCAGCCACAAGACATTTAGATTTTTTCACAATCAATTTTGTATCCGTACAGACCAAGCCCACCACATACTTTTTATAAATTAAAGCAGTAAAGCAGCCTGCCCCAGCATATGAATGTGTTAAATGTGATCATTAAAAAAAACGTTTTTTACATAAAAGAATTTACTGCATTTGATATTAAAAAAATACTTAATTCCCTTAAATTTATATTTTTCCTCCAAAAATTAAGTTTATATTAATTGATATTGAAATTTTATTTTATTCATAAATAAATATCATAAATTTTAATTTCATTTCAATTTGTCTTTAAATTTTATTAATTTTGTAATAAACAATTTTAATTTCAAAACATTACGAATAATATAATAGATCCTTATCCACAATTTGCTTTAGTTTATGTTGACAATGTGTTAATATTTTCTAACTCTATTGAAAAATATATAAAACATTTAAATATCCTTAAAAATATTGTTAAAAAAATGGAATGGTTATTTCAAAAAAGAAAATAAAAATAATCCAAACCAAAATAAGATTTTTAAGACGTGAGATATACCAAGGAACCATTACCTCAACTAAAAGAAGTATAGAATTTGCTGATAAAATTCCTAATGAAATAAAAGATAAAAATCAATTACAAAGATTTTTAAGGATATCTTAATTATGTGATCAATTTTATTCCTAAGATTAAAATAACTTATAAACCTCTTTTCAATAAGTCTCATAATAATTTAAAATTTTGGATTAATAAATTAACTCAAATAGTAATTAAAATAAAAGGCTTAGTTAAAACCTTGTCTTATCAAGGAAATTCATATCTAGAGGTCTTTGTGATTGTTGAGACAGGTGCCTCAGATATAAGTTTTGGAGGAATACTAAGACAAAAGATAAAAAAAATTTGCTTAAGCATATAATTAAATTCCATTTGTTGAGACATGTGCTTCAGATATAAGTTTTGGAGGAATACTAAGACAAAAGATAAAAAGATTTGCTTGAGCATATAATTAAATTCCATTCAGGAGCCTGGGTAGAATCCCAACTTAAATATAACTCTATTACAAAGAAAATTTTAAGTATTATTTTTTGTGTTCAAAAATTTCAAAGTGATTTAATAAATAAAAAATTTATTTTAAGAATTGATTGCAAATTTGCAAAAGAAATTTTAGAAAATGATATGTTAAAAATATTGTTTTACAACAAATATTAGTTAGATGGCAAAGTCTCCTTTCTTGTTTCAATTTTGAAATAGAATTTATAAAAGAAAAAAAATAATTTTTTACCTAATTTTTTAACTCATGAATTATTGTAAGGAATTTCCTTAAAAAATAAAGTTCTCCATGAGGTTCATAACTCTCGGACTCTCTAAAAGTTGATCTCTAGATGATTTTGTCCCTTTCATATGTAAAGTTCACTACTAAAACCAAAAAATTATCAATCACTCTAAATATTCCAATAATTACCACTAATTCTTTTTTCCATATTAAAATCCTCATCCTTTAAAATCCTAAACAAAATTCAAAAATTGCCATCACCATTAGCTTAATAATATATATATATATATATATATATATATATATATAATGAGATTGACTTGTTTTACTGTACGGCTGCTTATGCAAATTAAGCATAAACATTTTACACTGCTGGACAAATTATTAAGTAATTTGAGAATCTAATTATTAATTATATAATATGTATTTAAATTATTGAAATAAATTTGAAATATCATAATAAAAAATCATTTAGATTAACTATTTTCTATAAAACATGTAATTAACTACTTTTTATAAAACATGTAATTAAGTGCAGTTAAATTTCTCATAAATTAACAACTTAAAATATATTTCATAGCAGTCAAATTGATAGTATGTATTATCTAATAATTTATGAGTTGAGTGTAAAGTTTTTAATACTGGCAACCAATCAGATATGTTAATAATATTTTTTTTATTTTAATTTAATTAAATGAATAAATGATATGACATTATTAATAGATCTGATAAATTGCTTAATTAATTCATAATTTATTAAGTAAAGCGTGTTTCTTTCTAAACTTGTAACACGTTTTTGTTGATCTTTGTTTATTACTTTTATCTCTCAAGTCTTATAAATATGGGGAATAATTGGACATGAAATGGAAGCAGAAGAGGATGTCGAAACAAAGGTATGGCTTCTTACCCTCTCTATAGTACTGTCTGCTTGATTAACATTTGTGTTGTTGTAGGTTGCAGGGTAAGGTGGCGATTGTGACGGGTGGAGCCACCGGAATAGGCGCAGAAGCCGTAAAGATATTCGTGGAAAACGGTGCATCCGTGGTCATAGCAGACATCAAAGACGAATTGGGTCACAAGTTGGCTACTTCAATTGGGTTGGAGACGGTTAGTTACCATCACTGTGATGTGAGAGACGAGAAACAAGTTGAGGAAACAGTGGCTTTCGCGGTAGAGAAGTATGGCAGCATCGACATATTGCTGAGCAATGCTGGGATCCCAGGCAAGGGACAAAAATCTCTTAGCATAAACCTTGTTACTGGACATGGCATGTTAGTAAATACTTTTGATTTTTGAACGTGTGGCAGGGCCTTTATCAAGCATCCTAGAGTTCGATCTGAAGGAATTTGACAACACGGTGGCAGTGCATGTACGAGGAGCAGCAGCAACAATAAAGCACGCGGCACGTGTGATGGTGGCGAGGAAGACACGTGGGTCGATAATTTGCACGGCTAGCGTGGCTGGGTCGTTCGGGGGATGCGCGGGACATGATTACACGGCATCCAAACACGGCCTTGTAGGGCTTGTTCGTTCGACGTGTAGCGAGCTTGGAGCATATGGGATAAGAGTGAATTCCATCTCGCCTTTTGCAGTGGCGACGCCTCTTACCTGTGGCACCTTCGATATGGAGCCTGCTGAAGTTGAAGCTGCGGGGCATGCTCTTGCCAATCTTCATGGGATTACGCTCAAGGCTACTCATATTGCCCAAGCTGCTCTCTTTCTCGCCTCTGATGATTCCGCTTATATCAGTGGACACAACATGCTCGTCGATGGAGGCTTCTCCGTCGTTAATCGTGGTCTTCCTAGTATAATTCAAAATTAAAATCTTTCCATATCCCATGCCAAATGCAACATATCAACACACCTAATAAAAATCACCTTCCACACATTCATGCATCATCTCTTAAATCTACTCCATCTTAATTCAAATTCGACTTGTGCATCATTGCTCTATTAAACTTAATGTGGATCTGCCTCTGCATCAAAATCTCAAATTAATTATTTATTTATTGAAATCGATTGACAATATAAACATAATAATGATTATAAATAAATATAGAAAAATATTATTTTTCTACTCCTATTCTTATCTTTGGTTTTTTTTTTTCATGAAAAAAAATTGTATTTTAAAACAATAGTATTGTCCATAAGAAACATAACTTTGTTTCTCATTATTCTGAACTAATTTTTTTATTTGTAGGAATTATAATAATACAAAGGTTCATAATTAAAGCAATTAGTAAACTGTCCCAATCCCTCTCATTATTGAATTTTTTACCAATATAATATTTTTTTTTAAAATTACAAGATTAACAACTGTGCAGGTTTATTTACTACACTAGAATCATTTATTGTACATGCTCAGAATTCGGTTCCTGGGAAACCGAATTCTGAGCTTCAAAGTGTTATTTTTTTTTTTTTGTTTTGTCTACTCAGAATTCGGTTCTCGGGGAACCGAATTCTGAGTTGTTTTAATTTTTTTTTTTTTTCGTGTTTGTGGGGGAATTTTGGGCAGATGTAGGAAGTGGAACGGCCCGTTCAAAAAGCAGAACGGGCCGTTCTGTTTAAAGCCACAGAGTCATTTTGTTAAAATTAAAACGGGCCAAGAAAGGGCCTTTCCAGAATTAAGAATTAACGGAAAAATAGACCCATGAAACGACCCGTTTTAAATAATTTTTGTAGTTATTTTTTTTAACCTGGAACGGGCCGTTCTTCTTTTAGAACGACCCGTTCCAAAATAGAAATTTACACATGTTTTTGAATGTGGAACGGCCTTGGAACGGCCCGTTCCAGGAGCTGTTTTAACGAAAGAGAACGTAGTTTGGAACAGGCCGTTCTGGTTTTGGAACGGCCCGTTTTGGGCAAATAGTAAATACACATGTTTTCCTATAAATAGGCCCTCTCCCCTTCATTTTTTTCATACGATTTCAGTTAAGTTTCTCTCCTTTATTCCTTCCCTGTACTGCTTCTGATTCACCTTCATAGTAAGAAATTATTTTTTTGGTTCAATTTTCATTAACCAAATATAAAAAATGTTGTTGTGGAAGCAAAATGAGCATAGGTTTGCCTTCATTGGTAGAACGGTAAGTTTAGCACTTTCGTTATTTACTTTAAATTTTAATGAACTTGTAATAAATTAGTACTAATTTTGGTAATTATTGCAAGAGACTGAGAATATTATTTGTTCTTACTGTCATTCAATGTCAGAACCTCACCCTCTAATTGTTCCTATACTAGAGGAAGTTGGTTTTTCTGGGGTTGCAAACCTCAGACATCTGAAAGTGGATCACGCATTAATCACAGCTTTGGTTGAAAGATGGAGACCTGAGACTCATACATTCCATTTTCCAACCGGAGAGTGCACCATAACACTAGAGGATGTTGCACTTCAACTTGGCCTAAGAGTTGATGGTTTACCAGTCATTGGCCCAACATTATATGACTGGGAGGAAATGTGCTCCACCTATCTCGGAATCATGCCAGTTAAAGGTGAGTCACTAATTGGCTCTATGATTAAGTTAAAGTGGTTAAGAGAAAATATGTTAGAATTATCAGAGGAACCATCTCAAGAACAACTTGATGCACATTGTAGAGCATATATATTAGGTTTAATAGGAGGAGTTTTAATGCCTAACAAAACAGGCAATAAAGTACATTTTATGTATTTATCTTTATTAATAAATCTTAGAAGAACAAGATGATATAGTTGGGGGTCGGCTTGTTTAGCTATGTTATATAGGAAAATGTGTAGAGCTACAAATATTAGCAGCAAAACAATTAATGGGTGATTGTGCATCTTTGTTACAGTCTTGGGCATGGCATTGCATGCCATATATTGCGCCTATTTCCAGGATACCACTAACATTCCCTCTAGTCTGTAAATGGAGTGGGGGCAGAGTTTTAAACTTTCAAAATGTACCTCATAATGATGTTGTTGGATATAGATCAAGGTTTGATCACATCCAGAATGATCAGGTAACTCTTTAAAATCAAAGTTTTATTATTTTTTTTATTTTCTTTTGTTTAACATAATATGTTAACTAAAGAAGTTTAATTTTTTTTGTAGTTTTTATGGGCGCCATATGCAGTATTGCAAACAACAATACTGATGCAAGCATATAGAGATGCTCTGCTATGGACATCTTGCACCTCCATTATTTGTTTTGCAATTGTTGAATGGCACCAATCTGATAGAGTGAAATTGCAATTTCGTCTCTTCCAGGATGTCCCTTCTCGATCGAATAATTTGGATAACCTGCACAACATTGACATGAGGGGAAGATAAGATAAAAATTGGGTTACAAGACATGCTCAATGGATCGACATATGGAACAATAGATGTGAGCACACATTGATGGGTCATCCAATGCAAGGCCCACTGTTTCACACACGAGAATACATGGAATGGTACATGGCCAATTCCATCTATTTTTTATCTGTGCCACGACTACTACAAGATCCAAGGACCCATCAACAACGAAGGACTTCCACAACATTGAGACTGGTGGAACTTCCATGCGATCGCATGAAGAGACTGGTCAGCATGTATCAAATCCTCAGTACGTCACTCCTGAACAAAACATAATTGACAGACGACATTCATTTGCAACAACTTCAGAGGATTTTTTTACAAATTTATTTGGAGTAGATTTTAGAACTCCATCTTCAGCATAATCATACATGCAATCTTTTTACCGTCCACAATTCGGTAATGAACCTGGAAGTTCTTCAGCACCATTTCAACATCCGGTGGTTGATGATGAACCAAATCCTTCTGAGCAACAACCTCCACGGCGTAATCCAGGCCGTAATAGACGTCGCCCTCGTTGTGGAACTGGACACCATTACGGAGATTGAAAAATGTATATAAATCACTCTATGTTAATGTTATTGTTTTTTTATTCTAATGTACTATGTGTCTTTATCAATGTAATATGAATTTTAATATTATGCATTTTTACATGCGATCTAGACTAAGAAGGTTATAAACTATTATAATTATAAGTATTGTTGCGAACATAATATACGATTTCAACACAATATACGATTTCAACACAATATACGATTTCAACACAATATACGATTTCAACACAATATACGATTTCAACACAATATACGATTTCAACACAATATACGATTTTAACACAAACACAACGTACTATCCGATACTAACACAAAGTAATTAACTTTAATATTACATAACTAAATAAATTTATTACAACTGATTACAACAATAATGATCATTGGTGGCGGGAACTACATCCATGACTAATATTCGGACATGTCTTCCTAGTGTGACCAGGAGTGTGACAATAAGAACAATTTTTGACATGAGTATGTTGTTCTCTAATATCCATCTCTGTTCTAATCCTGGTGGACTTTGGTCGACCCTTCGAAGTTCTCTTCAGTTCTGGATTTGGCCACAAAGTTGGACCAGTGTAAGTAGGCCAATAATCTTCATGTCGAAGCTCTCCAAACTGTCCTTCGTATACCTTTGCAACTTGTTGTAAGGTATATATGGGAGATATGTACCTTTCATAGTCATGATGTGCATGTAAGCATGAAGCAAGTACATGTGAGCAAGGGATATGAACTTTCTAGAACTTGCCACAATCACACCACAATTCATCAAGCCTTACTGCAAATATCTCAGCTGGTCGAACTTCTCTAGAATGTTGCGTTTCTTCCACTATAAATCTACTGCATGATCTGTCAAAGCTGATAACTCTATGAGTATTTTCCTTAGACTGTGCATCTTGAATAATTTTATTTGCAATTTTTGAGTAGACATGTCCAGCATTAATCATTGCATCCACTTTCCTACCTCTTTGAATGAAAAACTTGTTGTAACGAGTGTATGTGGCCATTACCATGGAACAAATTGGAGGATGTTAATCCCCCCCCCGCCCCCGCCCTCACCCCGCTTAATGATATAATTAAAAAATTATTTTTATATATATATAAACCAAAATTAGAAATATTAATATGTAAAACTTTATATTATTTTACTTTTCTTTTATTTTTTTAAATTGTTCATATTTATTATAAACAAAAAAGAAAAAAAAATAGGAGCCGGGTGCGCAAACTCGAACCCCGCCAGAGGCGGGGATGAAGACCAAAAAATTAT